TCCCCGCCCAATCCCCCAAAAGCCATATATGTTTCAGCACACTTGTTGCTCTCGGCGTCAGTATTCAAGTGTTAAGTACTCTGAATGAAGTCGTGGAAAGCAGGATGGTATATGTGCACCAAGCGATGGTGTGCCATCGGCGCTTACGTCTCAGCCCTCCTTCCCGCCCTCCTCCCCACCCTCCTCCCCGCCCTCCTCCTCGCCCTCCTCCTAGCCGCTGTGCGCCGGCCCCAAGTTCACCGAAGTCAGCGCCAGCTGCGTGGCTGAGGGGGACGGGTGGCCAATCGCCGCGTGTGCCCTCGCGCGCGAGACGCGGCTGTGTACTCGGTCCAGCATCAGGGCCGCCTGAGACCGGGCCGAGAGGAGCTAGAGATGAGCCGGGGGTGGGGGGGGGGGGGGGGAGCTAGGCGTGTCTGCCTCCCGCCCCTCCTCCGATTTGAGCAAGTCGCCGTGCCCGAGGAAGCTCGCCGGCCGGTCGGCGTGGCCTGCTCACAGCTGCAGGTGTGAAGAGGCGCCGCTCACACGTGCAGCGCAGCGGCGGTCGGTGCGGCAGAGGCCGAGGAAAGAGGCGGAGCGGCTGCTGCGCCCCGCCTTGCCCGCTGCGGGGCCGACGTGCCGTCCGTTGGGGCTCGGCTCGGGGAAGGAGGCGGGGCGGCCTATGCACACGAGGAAGCAGGCGGCTCTTGTGAGTGGGCCATTCGAGCAGTGGGCCCGGGGGCATGGGGGCGGGCGGCCGTTGTGTCCGAGCCCGAGGAAGCTGTGCGCTCGCTCGCGCGCCGTGTCGAGCACGTCGAGCGTGGTCGGCGTGGGGGTGCTCATGGCCGTGCCCGCCCGCTCGCGGTAGGCGTCGTCGATGTGCGCGAGGAGCAGGGCGTCCTTGAGGTAAAACTCGTAGACGACGTCGTGCCCGCCCTTGACGTGCGCGCCGTGCACGCGGAAATCGATCACCTCGAGGTCGTGTTCGACGGCCACGTTGACCAGCTTCGACAGGAGGCCGAACTTTGCCGCGCACGAGATGTCGAGCGTGTAGTAGACGAAGTGCGGGTACCGCGTGTCGCCCCCTCCCTCCTCGTCCTCCACGGCGAGCTCCTTCTCGATGGCCCAGTTCCGCGCCCGGTCCGCCTTGCGGTCGTGCCACAGGCGCCAGCGCAGCGCCCACGGGCCGACGAAGACCGAGAGCAGGACCGCGAAGACGATCGACCCGAAGGTGTCCTCGTCGATGACGTTGTCGACCTACAGTAGTCGACAGAGCGCTCGTTGCTTCGTCACTCTCATCAGTCGGTGGTCCTCGTCGATGGCGTTGTCGACCAGGCCCTGGAAGCCAGCGAGCAGCGAGATCTCGCCTGCTCCAACCAGTGGCGCCAAGTGAATCTGGCGGAGGAGAGGAGGCCTGCTCGCGAGGTCTCGAGGTCCCGCCCCAGACGGCCATGGCGAAGCCGGCGCGGAGGAAGTTTTGCAAGTCGTGCGAGCGGTGGTGCGCCGAGTAGTGGCTGACCGTGAAGCCGGTGGCGAACTTGCCTGTACACCCTCGGCGCGTCTCGGCTCATCCGGCTCTTCTCGGGACAGTGGGACAGTGGGACAGTGGCGGCGGCTTGCCGGCGATGGCGAGGAAGAAGAGGGCGCCGCGGCCGATAATCCTGCCCGTCCACATCGTGGCAACGGGCACCTGCTCACGCCACAGCTGTGCTGAGACGCTACTCACAGCTGCTGTGCGTCGGGGGCGGGCACCTCGAAGGCGATGGTGGCGCCGTAGAAGAGTCGGAGGAGCGAGTACTGGATGCGCTTGACTTGGTGCGCCCACACGTGGTGGACTGGGGCGATGCTGCAAAAGGAGAGGCCGGCGAGGAAGGCGCCTTTTGACTCACCACGAGGCGCCCATTACTTAAGGCCCCGAAGACTTTCAGAGGAGGGGCCGGCGCGAGGAGGGCACCGAGGAGGGGGAAGGTCTTCGTCCGGTGGCAGACCGCCATCAGGCCGACCGCCATCGCGCAGAGCAGCGAGGTGAGGACGACGTCGTGGTGGCGCTGCTGCACGCGCGGCAGCAGCTTCGACTCGACGAGGCGCGGCACAACGTCCACCGCGAGCCAGCCGACCCCCGCCAGCAGGAGGACCGACGAGAGCACCTGATCCATGCATGAGGGGGGGGGGGGGGGGGGGCTGGCTCTCAACCCCTCGAGGGGCTGGCCAGCGGGGGGAGGACCGACGAGAGAGCGCACCGGCCACAAGTAGCTCACGCCCCCGAGATCCGGGTCGGCGAGCACCTGCGGGAATGACTCATTGACTCTCATTGATGTCGAATGAGATCAGCAGCTCACACGCCCCCGAGGTGCGGCGCAGGGGTCGGCGAGCGCCTTGAGCTCGCCGAGGTTGATGAAGGCGATGATGTCGTCGACAACAGTGGCGAGCAGGACAAGCTGGCCTGTTCACAGCTGCACGTGTGAAGAGGCGCCCTTCGCACCTGTACGCTCTGCGGCGAGCAGGACGAGCTGGCCGAGGGGCGTGTTGAGCACATGCCCCATGTTCATCACCTTGGTCGCCACGCCGACGGCGGTTGGCATCGCCGCGATGGCGACGACGTACGCTGCTTCGGCCGAGAGGCCGACTGCGGTGGCGAGGCCTGCAGGAAGGCTCGGAGAAGGATGGGGGAAGGGTCCCAGCCGGGGGCGGAGAGGCCGACTGCGGTGGCGAGGCCAAAGGCGATCGCAAAGGGCAGCGCAGAGCCGAGGAGGGCGGCGCACAGCGCTCGCGGCCCGTACGCGACGAGCATGTCGAGGTCGACCTAAGGTCGAGAGGTTCCGAAAAGGTTCCGAGAAGGTGCGGGGAAGGTTCTCCTCACAGCACGTCGGCCTCAAGGCCACACGAGACCATCTCCAGGACGAGGCCGACCTGGCCGATCATCATGACCGCGTCGGGCTTCGGCACGAAGGAGGAGAGGCGCGGGCCGAGCACCATCCCGCAGAGGAGCTCGCCGGCCAGGCTAGGCAGCCACAGCGCCTCGGCCAGCTTCCCGCACGCCCACAGCGCAATGTAGAAGAGCGCAAACTGCTCGACATCGTTGAACGTGAACGGAATGTGGTGACCGCTGTGGTCGCCGCACGGGTCGTCCGAGGCAGAGCCCAGCCGCCGCCGCTCGTCACCGATCCGCTCGTCGCCACCATCACCGCCGAGCCGCTCGTCGCCACCATCGCCGCCGGTCAGCCAGCGCCACGTGAGCCGGCGCCAGCTCCTCAGATGCTGCGCCGATTCACGCTCAGCAACTGACGCGTCGTCGACGAGTCGTCGGCGGGTACAGTTTGGGGACGCGCCGCCCGCCGCCGCCGCGCAGGCAAGCGCCAGAAGCAGAGCACAAGTCAAAGCCGGCCGCACCATCAAAACACAGACCGAAGCGCCAGAAGCAGAGCACAACACAGAGAAGCTTCTGGTGACCCGCCGTCACAAAAAGAATTTTCGCAGGGTTGTCTGTTTTCTTTCTCCCTTGGGTTGTCTGTTTTCTTTCTTTCTTTCTTTTTCTTTTCTTTTTTCTTCGGGTTATTTTAAAAGGGGTGTTAAGGGGGAGATTTCGCGAGCAGCTGGGAGTTCCCCTATTATTCCATGGACTATGCGCGAGTGGGCCCGCGCCCCCGTGTGAGTCTCGGCTCGCTTGCCCACCCCGCCGCCGCCCCCCTTACGCGGCTTCTGGAGTCCCCCAGCACCACGCGGTGGGCCATGTGTAGAAACCCTTAGGTGAACAGAAAGAAATCACAAAGCCACTCATCCCCTACTTCAAGTACCACGCCGATCACGCCGGTAAGGTAAGCGTGCCTGTGCTGCGGGCTGCGGTTCGGAGCGCTGGTCCGCGCGAGCTGACTCTGGCGCCGCCGCGACGACGGTGATGCCGCGCAGCTTGAACTTGTGCCCGCCGCCGGAGGATTCGCTCAGCAGCACGAGGCGCAGCTCGCACCGGGGTGAGGGGAGCGCGCTCACACGCACTGGCGTCGTCACAAAGACCGAGCTGTTGCGCAAGCTGTCGATCCTGTGCGCGTCGATGACCGTTGAGGTGCAAGTGCAGCCCTTGCCGCAGCGCACGCGCACACGCCCCATCCCTTCGTACGACACCAGGTGCTCGAGGAAGAGCGTCGCGTCCGCCGGAGCAAGCGCGCCGTCGTCCATGCCAGGCCGTTGTGGCGCGGCCTGTGGGAGGTACGCGTCCACGCTTGCCACCAGCACCGACCCCGGCGTCAGTGCGACAACACCCGCCGATGGCTTGTTCCTCCCTCCGAGCGACACTGTGAGATGCAGGGGCGGCTTCGGGATCTCCACTCACTCACTCACTTCTCTCTCTCTCTCTCTTCGCTGCCCTTGGTGTCCCTCTCGAGGTGGAGGGTCTGTTGATCCACCTTCGCGCGTAAGAGGTTTTGTAGGCACACGGATGATGTGGGAGAATATTGACGAGAATATGGCCTGTTTTGGAAGGAGCAAACATCGGATTCGTCCACCTCTAATAACCCAACACTCTTACGAGCGTCCTCTCCATCTCCACAGCCCGGCGCGACCAGCGATCTCTCCAAACTTCGATACCCCGCCGACTGCGTGGCCGGCGCTCGGGAATGCTTGACCTCGCGGCGGCCGTGTGGGCCGTGTGGTCTCTGGCGATGGGCGCATCCATCGGTGTCCTCTCTGTCTGGCCAGAGGTCGATCCGGAAGCCAGCGCCGAAGCTGACGGAGAGGGTGCAGACCGGGATGCGACCAACAACACGGATCCTCCTCCTCCTGCTCGTGACAGCGATCCCGACGAGCTACGCCGACGTGCTAGGGGCTTCTTCGCGGACGAGTTCTCTTCCTTGTCTGCGTCAAAGCCCGAGAGCTTTGACTTTGACCCTGGCATACTTGACAAGCTTGCGACCACTATGGCTGCACGCGCCGAACTCCAGAAGTTTCGACGGGACGCTAGCTGGCAGGTACAGCGACCTCCGAGGCAGCTTGGCCTCAAGCCTGCGTGCATTCACGAAGAGGGGCTACACTAATGGTCATCGACAGTGCAATGCCCTTCTCTTCGCCTGCTTCCATCGGCATCGCCCATGGACCATCATATCGAGCATGGCCCATCTTGCGTGCATGCATTCGGAGGGCAGCAGTTGGACCGCTGCCTTCCTTTCATTATTCTGCTCAGCAGACACTCAGTCGCTGGGCAATAGCTTTGGATTGCAGCTTTGGATAGCCGGGCGAGTAACACTTATTCGACTCGCCCGGCTATCATTTCGACAATTCACTCGAGCATGGACCGTCGGCATATGCGTGTGTATTCTCACAGACATGCACATGCGTTGGTGAGAGCGAGGAAGTGAGACCATGCTCGAGAAGAGGGAGTTAGTAGTATGCAGACTGCAGTCCGCGGCGCATGGCCGGAGAGGGGTCCTCCGCTGCTGGCCCGCTGCCCGCGGTCAGGGAGTCGTTAGAGGTGGCATGCAAAAAAAGAAAGAAAGAAGACAGGAAAAGAAAGAAGAAAACAGAAATGGAAAGAAAAATCGCTCGGCAGATCCCGCCGTTGCAACTGCCATGTCACGGCCGGTCGGCTGCAGCTCTCGCCTCGCTGGCGGCGCGGTCTGGTGCCGCGGCGCCCAGCTCTCCTGTGGGCTCGCGGCGGCTCGCCGCCGCGGTGCCGAACAATGTGATCAGTCTGGATTCGTCCCGGCGTGCCGCCGGTGCCGCTTCCTCGCCAATTTTTGGCTCGACCAGTTTGTCGACAAAACTGTGCCAGAGCCCCTGCTGCTCGACTGAGCGGCGGAGCCGGCCCGTCGCGGCCGAGAGGCGGTGCGCCGACACCGGGGCTACGGCTCGGGACCGTTTCCAGGCTCTCTCGAGCAACCTCAAATTTTGATGATTTCATGACCTCGCCACTTTGCGGCTCTTTGACATCCACCTCGCGGCCCGCTGCGCGGCTCTCCGAGCGCGAGAGGAGTCGTCTACGAGGCGGCGGCGAGCGCAGGCGGCGGCGGCGCGGCGGCGCGGCGGCGGATCGCGGCGCAGACAACGGCAGGAATCTGCGGCAGGCTGCTGCCTGCTGCTACAGCAGCAGCAGCTGCTGCTGCTGCTCCGCCGCTGCCGATTGTGGACACGATTCCCCCGATCACCCCGCCCGCCCGCTCCGCCCCGCCCGCCCGCCTCTCCCCGCTTGCCCGCCCGCCCGCCCGCCCGCCCGCCCGCCCGCCCGACCACCCATTCCCATCACCATCTCACATACCTTCATATATAGGCGATGAGCCACTGGGTGCGTGA